TCCACTTGCGCTTCTGGCCGTTTGTTGTACTTGTTCTGTTCACTCGCAATCGAGGTAGGTCAAGTCTCCTCCCAGCTGCTTCCTTCTTCCTACGGCCTTCCTTCCCTTCGCCGCCCCGAGGTACTTTGTCTCCCTGCTCTCCATGTGGGCGGCGTCGATGTTCCTCTTCCTTCGTGTTCTCAATCTCGTCCATCTTCCTCTTGGTCCCCTTTCTCAAGAAGCCAAGCAGACCCCCTTCCTGCGCGCCCTCCTCGGTCGGATTCTCCCCCGCCAGTTGTGAATTCCACACTGAGCTCCTTTCCAACCCAGGCGGCCACGGAGGAAATGCAAATTCTCGTGAATTTGATGCCAAAACCACCTCCTTCTCTTCCTCCACCGTCATAGTTGCCAGTTGTCCTTCGTATTGAGCCTTCTCGTGACCAACCACACCATGTCCCCCACTTCCCTCACCGATTCCCTCAGTGGGGGTGAAGACATCCTCGAAGGTTCCCCCGGTAGTCCTCTCCGCTGAAGCCTCCCCCTGCGAGTCCAGCTCCGTAGTCCAGGAAGGTGGAGGGGAAGGTATAAGTCCTTCGGAGGGGTCGCCATCCTGTCCAGCAATCTTCTCCAGTGTTCGGGGGTTGGCTGATCGTCCATCGAACTGTTGCCAGTGTCCCTGCGCCGAATTCTCATCTCCTGATCTGGGATGTCGTTGATCGGGGGAGTCGTGGAATGGTCCATCTCCTGATCCATGTTCCACGGTTCTACCCAATCTTCGTCCTCTGAGGTCTCTCTCCCTTCTTCTGCCCACCAAAGCCTCCATGGGGAATCCCGCAGAAGATGAAATTGCTCCCATTGCTGCTGCCACACGCGGACGCAGTAGCAGCAGGCTCCGAGGTGGCAAAGGATCCCCGGTGCCGACGAGGTAGAAAATCAAGTAGGCCGGCCACGATAAGGTCCAGACCCCCTCAGCCTCTACGAAGGGGAGTTCCCGGGGCGCCAAAAGCCACCTCCATTTGAGCCGGCGAAAACTACCGACGCCCGACCGTCGACGAAAAACCCCGACCTGGTCCTACTAGGTCCACCGTCCTTGGATGCCCTTCCCTTTCTCCCTTCCTTTACCTTCACCCTTTTTGGACCGGCCTGTATGGCTGCCGTATTAACGGGTTGCCCAGGCAGCCAGCAAAGCTTCTGAACCTTGCCAGTCTGCTTCGTCTGGACCTGGAGGTTTGAGGCGATACCAATCAGTCGTCCGCTCAATAGGCGTCTCGATCTGAATCCCCGCCAATGCTTCCGGCAATAAGGGGGGGTATTCGCCCAACAGTCCGGCCGAGAGAGAAAGTCGGCCTCCTTATTGGCTGTGCCTGGCAGGTGTATGGGCAAATCGGCGAGGCCCAAGGATTCAGAGACCACCGCCAGCTCTGCACCCGGGAAGTTGAGCCCTGGGCTGGAATTCGAAAACCGTTGGGTCATTATGGGCAGGGCCGTCACGCTGTCGGATTGGACGTTCACGGCCACACTGACTGTAGCAGCAGCTTTCCCCAGTGCATGAGGGCCACGAGGATGGCTAAAGTCTCCACCAACCCCTGTGAACTGGATTCACCCAATGTCCAACGTCCCTACCGGGGAAGCCAATCCCTTCGTCGCCCTGCCATTCACAATGAGTATAGCCCACAAACCTTGCGGAGATGCGTCTGTCATGATGGACACCTCCGCTTTCCCGCTCTTGTAGAGGCTGTATTTCCTGATTGGCCGTTCCTTCGCCGCCGCCAAGTACGCCAACAGCCATGTTCTTGCCCTCTCCACCCTCTTGATCGGTATCAAGTGGTCTTTGGGGCGATTGTCTGACCGCTGCGCCCTCCTCTCTGCTTCCTTGCCCGTGGCGACGTCCGACTCGTGGCTGTAGAGGGCTGCATACAAGGAGGCTGTGGCCCACCTCGCACGAGGTAAAACCCCTGCTAGCCATGCTACTCGGCCTGCAGCTTTACGAAGTTCGGTGCCCCCTATCATTCCCTTCCCTTCCCAGGATTGCAGTGGTTCTGGAGCTCATCCATGAACCGCTCGGGCAATGTCACCAGCAGGTTGTCGAGCCACCAGCTTAAAGTTCACTCCGATCCAAGTCACTGCAGCTGATCGTTCTCCTTTCGCCAGTGAGAGCTTCAGGCCCAGGGCGGCCATGGTGGTAAGGATGCAGGCCAGTGTACTGTTCCTTGCGGCCAAGGTCCCGCGCAGTACCCATAAGGAATCATCCAAATAGACCTGGTGCATCCCTCTTTCTGCCGGTATCGACTGTACCAGCCTGGCCACCAAAGCCGCCACCCTGCTCCAGGTAAGTGGCGCCGTCTTGTAGCCGAACAACAAGGCCACGAACAGCAGCCAGTGGTCCCCATCGAGAGCTGGGGCCAAACAATGGCCCTTCTCCTCCTCGGCCACTGCCAGTTTGGATATAGTCGTCCCTTTGAAACTTTTCCTCTCCGCCTCCTCCTTCTTCACCTTGACGGCGTAGCCACAGTGGATGAGTCGATCGATTTCCACCTTAGCGTCTTCCTCCTGTTCCACTACAGCCCTCAAGCCCTGTGCTGCCTGTAGTTCACCTCCTTCCTGCAATTCGTCGCCCTTCAACGTTGGTGGGAATATTCCACACGACTTGATGGGTAGTTCAATCCCCAGTGGTACCCCCTCCTTGATCCACTTGTGGACTTCCGTCTCCGGGTCGTTGGCACGGCGGCCCCATGCCTCGAAGAGGTTGTAGTCCAAGGGTCACTCATAGGACCATTTCTCCGTCAGCTTGACCTTCGCCGCCCCCTTCGCTCCGGTGAGTTTCCTCAGTTCCTCCTTCCACTTCTCGATCCATCGCCACTCCAGCACGCACTCCGGCATACCATAGGTTTCACCCACCTTCAACGCCTGGGAATACTTCGTGCAATATCGCTCCCAGGCCCCAAGTATCCTCCGTCCCAAGTTCTGCAGGGGCGGCAAACCTTCCACCGTTTCCATCGGATTCTTCATGCCCCCAACGAAGTCTTGCTGGTCCAGTCTTTGTTCCTTCTTCACTTCCTCCCGCAACATGCCATATTTTCCCCCTCCAGGTTTCCATCTCATGTCTCCCACCTTCTGGTCCTTCTTTGTCTTCTCCTCTTCAACGCCCTTCTTCCTGTCTCCGCTTCTCCTCCTTCGGCTTCGCGATCTCGACCGTCTCCGCCCCGTGGACGCCTTCTTCTCGCGCCCTCTGCTCCTCCGCTCTTCGTCCTCCTCTCTGGCTCTCTTCGACGTCACGGGGGTCTCCTCCTTCCTTCTTCCTTCGCGCCCTCCTCGATGTTCCCGTCGATGTTCCGGGGTTGGAGGAGCCCTGCCTTCCTTCGTGCCCATGTTGATCTTTAAGCGTAGTCTCGACAGCAATTCGCTCCTGGCCATCTCGTCCGCTGCGTACACCAAATGCCAGGCGTCCGGGTACAAGCGAACCATCTTCTCCACGAACAACTCGTACCCATGTAGTGGGGCCATTGGGTGAAGTTCGATGGACCTGGCAACTCCTTCGACACGTAGCCGTCCGCGGTGGGCACCCAGGTCCGGTATTATTTCGAAGCTCTCAATGCCTTCCTGCCGAACGGTACGAACACCCCGAAGTCCGCATAGGGTGGTTTCCCAAGGCTCAACTTCTTCTTCAAAGCCGAGAGTTGCTCGATCGTAGGCTCCTCCTCTTCTTCGGGCATTGACCCCGTCGTGTTGATGTACTTCTGCAGGAGGAGCAACTTGTCGTCCTCGTTGAGGACTTCGAATTCGCCGTCGTCGCCCTGGTCCAGAACCTGAGTAAACTTCAATGTCTTTCCTTCGTGTCCTTGTCCTCCTTCTTGGATGTAGTCGTAGGTCGCTTCGAAGGTGAGGAGCTCGAACTGGCTTCCCATGGGCCCTCTTCCATCCAGTCGTCCCAAAGGCCCCCACCCTTCGTGTACATGATGCGCCTCGCCAGCTTCCAGACCAACCCCACTTGTGCGGCCACCACCAGGCGACCCCACCTCCTGGATGAAGGCCGCCCACAACTCCTCGCTGACCTGGAAGTGTCCAGTCAGGTCGGACACCCGCTCCATCGCCGCCGCCGCAGCTGCGGCAGGAAACATGGCTGCACGCGAGGTGCGTAAGCCACCACCATGTCAAAAGCATGGTGGCAGCACTCATTCTTGAGCCAAAATGGCCCCACCCCAGCTGCCACTCAACTTGTCCAGCAGAAAACTTCGTTTTCTTTCACAAGACATTCCCACCGGTGCAGTGAGTGTACCAAGCCTTGCGAGATCGTCGCGACCGTCAGGCTCGAACCGTCGGGTGAGATGGACCGCGAGGCTCGAGTCTTCCGTTCCACTTCGCGACAAAGACCTGCTGTTGCAAAGACCTTTTGAGTGCATGGAAGCTAAACAAACTAGAGCAGTCAACATTTGGGGAGCAGATTGCACATGGACACACCTGCGGGGCAGCTGGGAGAGAGCCAGAGCTTGCCACTTTCGGCAGTGCGTCACATTCACGGCAGAGGACTGTGGTTGCTGTCCATCATTGACCGCTTGCAGTTTAGAAACTGCTCACTGGCTCACTGACTATGGACTGTCAGTCAACTGCAAGAGTTCCAATATAGAGAACCGGCAACAGTCAGTGGCTTCTCGATACAGGCAAGCGTGAAAGCACGCAGAGTTCCAACCTCGCACACATGGGTTCTCTTTCTGACCCTATGATGTTCCCTGACCGAAGTAGCTAGGAATTCAGAAAACAAAATCTTCAAGCCACTCTGCCTGTCCTGGTCGAGCCCAGGAACTCTCACAGAGCTCGTTGCGTCAAAATGTGGTTTTGAAGAGTCATCACGATTAGCTTGGCTAGTCAGTTCTGTGTGATGTCAATGCCACGTCGTCGACATGTGTCATGAGACAATCTCTGTTTCCTTTGCTACTGAAGTTTGCAGCTGAGCTCTACACTCAGCAAAGTGCGGCAGCAGTTTTTCCATCAGGTCCACCTCACGTTCTCCCGACTTAAAGCTCATGCCCTGTGACCTGCACCTGCCCTTGGGATGTCTGAGGAATCACGACGCAACCTTCAAGCAAAACCAACGGCTTCAGGATCAAACTCGTTGCAACATCGGCCGAGCTCCCGCCGATCGAACGGCCATGCACGAGCCGGAGCCACTCTGCCAACCGCATGGATTCACGAGCCGTCTCAATCACACTCGCTGGCGATCGGTGGATACCAGTTGGCCTGTCAGATGCCAGTGCCAAATCACACATACTGCCGACGTCGCATTGCGGAGCTGGAACGCTTCGGTTCGCGAAACAGCTTCGGTCCGTCCATCCTTTCAGCTTCGCTTCGTGCGGGATCCAGTCACCGAGTTTGCGGTATGAGTTGGGTGCACCATGCTTGAGCCAGCCGCCAGCAGGATGTTCCTGTCACCATGCTTGAGCTATAGTCTTAGTGAGCATACATTGTTGCCTGCCTGCACATCCTTTGTTCACTTGGGCTTCTATTGGCTGGTGAATCCAGACCATCTGGCGTTGGGAGCTTCAAGACACCACTGCACTGCGGGACATTGCTGGTCATTACTGCCACATCTACCAAGGATGCCACACGCATGGCTGGACAATGCATGGCTTCTTGCCATTTTTTGCATGGCTTATTTGTGTACTTTGTTTCACTGGCTTCACCGTACTTTAGGTCTTCTTCTTTAGGTCTTTACTTGAATCAAGCTCAATCGAGCATCTGTGTGCCAGGTTACAATTTTGCAGCCTTGGCTGGCAACCTTGACTGGTGGCCAAGCTTTTTCGCGTCCGGAGTCTTCGCTGGCTTGACACGCGTAGACTGATGCGCGGTCTTGTGGACTTGCTTTGAACAAGATTGACGTAAGACGGGCTGATGTCAACTTTGCCCGTGTATCCTGCAACCACACGATTGATCAACAACCTTGAGAGGTGCACACGATGGGACTGGCTGAACTCACAATGGCAGCCATGGCAAGTTTTGCACTCGACGGGCGTTTATGCACCTCTTTGGCTCTTTGACATCAACGAACCCTTGCACCAGCTAGTGTGGGATCATGGTCATTGTTGGAAAAATGTCTTGCTACTCATGCTGGAAGCTATCGCCGTGTCAATCAGGGTGTCGTGCGTTTGCTTTGCTGTCAACTGGCTGAACAACAAGAGTCCACGCATCTTCTATTCTCCAACGCAATGCTGAAAACCGCACAGCAAGCTTCATGCTTCAAGCAGCTGCATGACTGACTCACTTTGGAGCTAGCAGCCACGAAGAATAGGGTCCTTATATGTCCTTATGACTTACTTCTCTCATGGGCTTTGCGGGAAAACCTAGTTTGGGTACCCCTTAGCGATCCGTCCCGTTCCATGTGTGCGTGCTATCCACAAGCTCGCCCTGAATCTGATCCGGATTTGGGCTGCAAAGAGCTTGTCACATGGCTGATGGCACATGGCTGATCTGACAGCTGGTCAATCATGTGGTCACCCAAGGCTCGCTGTTTCTGGAGCTGCAGATGTAAAGCAGCTTGGCAAGGAGAGCCGGAAGAAGGAGGAGCGAAATGGCACTGGCCTTGCTTCTACCAGGCTTGTCCGAAATGCTTTTTGCAGCAACTGCCTTAAACTGGAACCCAAGCACCCGTTTTGCCTTGGGTGCCAACACTCTCAAGGAAGAGAATCAATCCTGCCTGCATACTTCCTGCTTTGGAGAGAAAGCTCTTTCAGAACAGAAGCAAGCGAGATCATCCAAAAGGTTGTCAACATTATGTCGTGGGGCAAGAACAAGGCCAGCGAGCTCAGGGCTTTTACTTTGCCCTCTAGTTTGCACAAGAGGGCTTGATCCTATCTTTGTTGGTAGTGCACATTCCTGAAGCATAAGCCTCCTTTCGACATAGTCTAAGTATTGGACAAAGCAAACCAGAAGGTCTCAAGGTAGCCTGTTCTCAGTAAAAACATCTCGTCGAATTTGACCTGAGGAATGCTCAAAAGTTCACTCCTGTTAGACTCCCAGCAATGTGGGTCGGCCGAACAGTCAGTCTGCGTGAGCAAGCCTTGGTCAGTTTGCGTGAGGCAGCAAGAGACTTTAAGGTCAAGTGAGCTCGCGAAATGGCACAGGGACATCTACAGGGGCAACATCGTCATTGATTAAGATATCACCACCTATCCACAAAATGCATCTGTGCTCAAACCTAGTTTTTTTGCTTGAGGCACAGACACTAACAATTCAAAGGTCTTCTCACTGATTCAATGATTCAAGGTTGCAGCAGAATGTCCAAAAACAGACTGCCAGCACTCCGAGGCTACCATCAATGTTGGCAGACTGAAACGACTTGCAAGCCCTTTGTTTCTGCCTTTATTCAGGCAACTCACAGGAACATGCTGGAAGCAGGAGGAGTCTGCATCCATGCGGCAGGATGCTCCAAAAGGCTTTTGCCCACCTGCCTCAAAATCATTGACACGCACGAAGGTCTTTGCAACTGGTCTTGTGGACACACCAAAAACGTGGCCAATGTGGGAGAGGGATGGACTTCGGGACAGCTGCAACCTCAGCACGGTTGGTCGCATCCTCGAAGTCGGACAATTGTGAATCTTGCAAAGTGTTTCCCCACATGGCAGATCCATCGATTGCAAGGTCAAATAACTCTGGCAGGCTAGTCTCTGGTATTTGCTTCAAAGAAAACCATGGGTCCCAGAAGCCAAATGATCTGAATCCTGTCTTGGCAGAGCGTAGAGAACTGAGACATCAGGGTGCAATGGAAAGATCTACGACAGTGCAGGGTGCATTTGTCTTGTGGCACTGAAGGTCTGGTTCTTTCATGATGGTTCAGGCTTCACAATTGCGAGTCCTCGAGCCTGCGGTGCTATGTCATGACGGGTTCGTGAAACCTGGAGGGAATACCTGGCACACGGCCATGCAGCAAGCCATCCCATGCAGCAATCCCATGACAGCTTCATCGACGTCAACGCCGTCTGATTCACACCCAATTAGAGGTTCTACTGAGCTGCTCACGTAATGGTCTTCGTGGTCTTCACCACGTTGATGAAGGATCCAAAACCCACCGAACAGCCATTAGGAGGCATCAAAGGTGCGTTTGTCAGAACTATGGCCTTAGCTCTTTTCTGAGGTGCGTTTGGTGCTGGTCTTCTCACAAGCTGACATGAGCCCAGGGCTTGCTCCTTGTTGGAATGACCTTCCAAGAAGGCCAAAGCTGACACGGCCAAATACTGGCTGAGAAAGCAAATCCACCTTGGTGGCTTGCTATCAACATCCTTTTGACAAGGCTTCTCAACCTGGGTGCAAAGCCAGCCCAGCTGCCAAGCGTTGCCGGCTTGCGTGGTGCAGTGGGTCAAGGCACATTTGCTAATGGGAGCTGGGCACCGGCACTCAACGGCCACTGAGCTGGGCACTTGAAGATGGAATCGAAGCAAATGAGGAACACGGCAAGTACCCTCACAGAACTTTGTCTTTGTGGGTCTGAAGATCAAGTCAAGTGCTTCCAGGTTGCTGTTTGGAAGTGCTCCTCGTAGCTCGACCGCAGACTCTATACAAAGCTTTCATGTGGAGTGCTTCTTGCGGTTGGCCATACAAGAAGTAAACACACAAGACCGAGAGAGCCACAACTGAACCAATTTTGAAGGAAGCAGCCAGAATGTTGAATCCTGTACTTCTGCTGGAGGTGCAGGCACTCGTTCCGAGTGCAGGCAAGTAGCAGCATTGTACTTCCTCGAGCTCACCTACAAGCTGGGTCCACTGTCACACATCCTTCCAGGCGTTGGAAGTACTGATAGCTGCACACGTGCTGACCTTCCAATGTGCTCCAGAATGCCAACCCACCGCGGTATGCCCAAGTCAAAAAGGGCTGAGTCACTCGTATCGCGCCAACCAAAGATGTCTTTGTAGGCTTCGCTGCACTTTGTGATTTCCTGATGTATGACTTTGCTACTGCAGGGAGTCAAAGAAGCCGACCGTGATCCTAGTTCTCTGTTCGGAGTCTTTTGCAGAACTAAAATCACTGAGCGTCTGTTTAAGATGATGGGAAGCTCAGGTGTCTTCTGCCGCAGCATAGCGGTGCTAGGTCCCAGTCTGCTGGGATCGCGGCGACCCATCAACCAGTCTACCCATGTTGTCCCAATCTGTCCACCCTCCCAAATGTCCCCAGTGGCGCTCCACCCTTCTCGTCTTTTCAAACACAAAAAGAACATCGTTGACATCTGTTGCATGCACTTCTCTGCACTTGTCCCTACAGACTTGGCATCAAGTAATCTTCTCAGGCAAAAGCTGATGTCACATCTCATGTCTAAGCAGAGTCTAAGCATGCTGTAACTGGCCATGGCCATAACATGTTGCTTTCGCAACACCTGCACAGAGTACAGAAGCTGCTACCACACCCCGACCCCGACACGGAGGAAGTGGAACATAGTGGAACGCTCGGACTTAACAAGCAAGACACGCCACACGGGGTTTGTACTCAAACGCTCTCAAGAAGTCGTGGCAAGCCTGCAAGAGGGCCAGGTCTTCGGAGGGTTTGGCTCCAACTTCTTGATCAAAGTGGTCTTGGTCTGTGCCAGCCAAGTCACTAGAACCAACCACTTTCTTTTCCTCAGGCTGTCCATGACGAAGGGGAAGGTGGAACACAGCAGCAGAAAAAGCTTCTTGTTGTCTCGCTTTGGTTAGGTTTTGCACTTGTACCTCTGGAGACTGCTTCCTATACACTTCGCACGCTTTGAGACTCTTCACCGCAGCCTTTTGACATCTTGCGACCCTGCAGTGTGTGAAATGCTTCGTCTCCCAACGAAACATAGTGGCCCAGTCCCAGTCCCTATCTCTGTAGCGGCAGCGGCAGAAGGCCCGAACAGTTTCACCTCTCATTCGCTCACTCTATCAGGACTACCCAGGACCTGCATCCTTCTACTCACGTTCTCTGCGCGAGCCACCTGGATCCACCGACTTGGAAAGGCAGCATGGCAAAGGAAAGGCATGGATCAAGTGATCAAGTGCAGAGTCCGCCGGATTTGCGTCATGAATAGGTCAGGGATTTCAATTCTACACCAATGGACAACAGTTGCTGGTTCTTGGTGCTCTTACACAGGAAACCCAACCTCTCCAGTGCAAATCAGACTTTGTGGGTTGGATGAATGGCTTTTTTACTTCCCTTGCCAACATTGACAGTCCGTCAGGAAGCAGCAAATTGCTTGAGTCCCTGGAAGCTGCAAAAGGAACCCCAAAATTCCTGAAATCATGCTGTTACTTCCTAACAGAAGAAGACCCGGAGCAGGGCAGGAAGCCACAGAAGACCCGGGCAGGAAATGGCTGGGAGGTCTCAGCACGCAGCATTCTCCCAGGCTTTCAAGCTTTATATACTGCTTTCTTTTCGCGCTCATTTGGAGAGGGCTCTGATGAGCTGTTCAGCACAGGGCTTGCTCTTTTCGCTCTGTTCTGCGCGACAGCACAGGACAGCTCAACCACATGGTCTACAGCTTCTGCACATCGTGTCGGTGGCACTTGACACACCTGGCTCCGTGACTGCTGAGGGCTTGCTCAACCGAGTTCTGAAAGGCTTGCATACATGTGCCTGACATGGTCGACCCTACTACTGAACATGGTTTCTCTTGCAATCATGGCATGCCAAAATGCACGAATCACACTCACAGCATTGCTGCAACGCAGTGCACCCGCTCTTCATGAGAACTGTATTTTAGGT